CGCCCACGTTCTCTCGTGCACCTATCGCACCCTCGAACATCCAGTCCCCTGCGCACCGCCTGCACCGCTCGCAGAGCCACCGCCTGCCCGCAGCCCCGGGGCTGCTGCCGCTGCTGCACCGCAACATCACCGTCGCGCGCCCGGGACGGCGGACGCGCTCGCAGAGCGCTGCCGTGCTGACGTCGACGCCGCGCGTGCGCCGCTGGGTCCCGAAGGCGCCGGGGCGGGCCGGCGCGTCTGCGTCTGCGTCGGGAGCAGCGGCAGCGGCAGTGGCGCGCGAGGACAGCCTGAGCGAGCCCTCGAGCGGGGTCTCGGCGGGCACGACGGCGTCGCAGGACTCGCTGGACCGCGTCGAGCGGGTCTCTGGCTGGCTGGAGGGTGGTGGCGGCGGGCTGGATGTTCGGGGTGTCGTGGCGGAGCTGGAGGGGCTGTCGTTGGGTCTGGGCGGTGCGTCTGACTCGAGCTGTGAGATGGACGTCAGCTTTTGAGGTCTTTTCCCCCAGTATCCTTGCATAGAAGCAGTACTCTTGCGTTGCATTCTGTCCTTCCTCGTCTGGCAGTTACCTGAATTCGGAGCACACGGCTTTGGCATGTTGACAAACAGCAGAGCAGGTCGGAAATCAAACGTTATCGAGAAGCGCTGTTGGCGTCGGCGCTCACTCTGCCATTCTTTGTGGCGCCCGCTGAGGTCGTCACTTCAGTTGCCCAAGTTCCTCGCCGCCCAGAGCATGCATATGCTTTCTTGCAGCATCTCCGCAGCGCTATCCTCCCGTTGCCGGCGCACCGTGAGCACCCTCAGTCGTTCGTGCCCTTTCCGTCTTCGTCTTGGCGCCGTGCCATCCTACCTTTAGTGCTCTGTCCCTCAACCGTTCCGTCCATGTATCCTCCTTCAAAGCGCCAGGTCCTCACGAGAATTCTGAGCTGATGCAAGCGCAGATCGACTGAAATTTTGCCTCGTTCCTGTGCTGGCGGCAAATCAAGCGGCCGCCGCACAGACGCGTCGCCCACGCCGGCCATGCACGTCCACGACGGTTGACGCAGATGCTGACCCATCCGTGCAAAGAGGATTATTCAGGCGCCAAACGTGAGGAGCGCGAGCGACTGCTCCTAGCGCGAGCCGGGCACGGCGCAGGTATAAATGCGCAAAGCACAAGCATCCTTTGCTCTCCTCACAAGACAGCCTAACGAAGCAACACGCACAAGATGACCTCCGGAGCCGCAGACGTCCCCCTTTTCACCCTCAACAACGGCGTGCGGATACCCGGCGTCGGAATGGGGTGCGTTCCCGCTGACGGGCGCACTTCATGCGTGCTTGCTGATCGTGCTCTGACCGCAGCTGCTGGCTGGGCCCCGAGGGTGGTGGCGACGTCGCCGAAGAGATGTCCAAGAACGCACTCAAGGTGCTGCTCCATTTTCCCTAGTGGCAGATTTGGCGCGCCATGCTGATCTCCAGTTTCCGCTTCCCAGTGTGGATACAGGCACATTGACACTGTGAGTGTTCTAGCACGTGCGTGTTTTTCTGCTTCCTGACAGCGGCGTGCGTTCTGCAGGCTGCTGGATACTGTGAGTGAGCCGAGCAAGCGACAGCCGTCGACGCTTACCAGGATTTTGCCTAGTCAACGAAGAGCTCGTCGGAAAGGCGATTCGAGAGTCTGGCATCCCGCGCGGCGAGCTCTTTGTCACGACCAAGCTTGCGTGAGAATTTCTCTATTTGATTTTCGCTATGGAGGAGGCTCATACTGCGTGGCAGATACTTCCATGGACACCGCGTTCGTGAAGCGTTCGAAGACTCCTTGAAGGCCCTTGATCTCGAGTACATCGACCAGTACTTGATTCACTGGCCGATGGCGCATACCCTGGACGGTGAGTAGCGCAGGAGATTGCCATACTTTTAATGTTCGACGCGTCCGCTTCAGGTGCACGCGCCCGTTCATTCGAGGAGCATCCAAACTTTGTCGACATTTGGGCCGAGATGGAGAAGCTCCTCGACACAGGTAAGTTCTGCTCCATCAACAGTCAATTACCCTAGGCAAATGTTGAGTGGCACAACAGGCAAAGTCCGCGCCATCGGCGTCTCCAACTTCTCCATAAAGAACCTGGAGATCCTGCTCAAAGACGCCAAAGTCGTGCCGGGGAACAACCAGGTCGAGATCCACCCCTATCTCCCGCAGCACGCGCTACAACAGTACTGCAACGAGAAAGGCATCCTCCTCTCCGCGTACTCCCCGCTCGGTGCGTCTCTCCGCCAGTACCCTCAGCAGGACCGCTAAAGGCACAGAGCCACAGGCCAGGGCAACCCGATGTTCTTCAGCGACCCCGACTTTGCCAGGATCGCCGAGAGCCACGACGCCACGCCGGCACAGATCTCGATCAGCTGGCTTGTCCAGCGGGGCACGCCGCCAATCGTGAAAAGCGCCAATGTCGAGCGCATGAAGAATAACATCACCGTGAGTCCCCGTCCAGTCGTAAACTATTTGTATGC